TTTTGCTTATGACCAGGAGGAGACTGAAGAATATGGCGAAGAGGATAGTGAGAGAGGAAGGGGTAATGGTACTCGTGAGATCATGAGAGAGACAGATCAAGGCGACAGGAATGAAAATAATGAAGGGGAGCATGAAGTAAGGGGGGGTTCTATGGAAGAAATGAATGCAGGGAATGAGCAACTTGGACGAGGCCATAGAGTGAAGCATCCTTCCACCCGTCTCAAGGATTACGTCATACACACCACATGGTGTTTCGACCACAGTCTGAGCCCTTCTGCCAGTTCATCTCGCCAATTTCACTCCTCAGGTACTCCCTATCCTATAACACATTATGTGAATTGTGATAAATTCTCTTTGCAACACCGCTCTTTCTTAGCAGTTGTCACAGCTAATCATGAGCCCTAGAGCTATTCAGAGGTTGTCAAGGACTCTCGTTGGAGAGAGGCAATGAGAAAGGAAATTGAAGCCTTAGAAAACAACAGAACCTGGACAGTGGTGGACTTATCGCCAGGGAAAAAGGCTCTCGGAAGTAAATGGGTATACAAGATAAAGTACCACTCAAATGGCACAATAGAGCGGCACAAGGCACGTTTGGTGATATTCGGAAACAAACAGGTTGAAGGGATAGACTACAATGAAAGAAGTGTATATGAAGATCTACAAGAAGAAGTGTATATGAAGATGCCCCTGGATTTGCTTCAAGACTACCTGGGAAGGTGTGCAAGCTGCACAAGTCGATTTATGGTTTGAAGCATGCCCCTCGTTGTTGGTTTGCTAAACTAACGATAGCCTTAAAACAGTATGGCTTTATCCAGTCACAATCTGATTACTCCTTGTTTACACTTCAACGGAAGCAGGAACAATTGAACATCTTGGTGTATGTGGATGATCGTGTCATCTCTGGAAATAATGGCAATGCCATACGGAGATTCAAGAAGTATCTGAGCCAATGCTTTCACATGAAAGATTTGGGAGCTTTGAAGTATTTTTTAGGAGTGGAGGTCGCCAAAAGCCAGAAAGGTATTGTTCTTTGTTAGCGAAAGTATGCTTTTGATATCATATCAGAAACTGGATTGTTAGGATCTAAGCCAGCTGGACTTCCCCTGGAACAAAATCATAAACTAGCTCTGGCAGATGGTCCTCTGATGATGAAACCAGAGAGTTATAGGAGGCTTGTGGGTCATTAAATTACTTAACCATTACCCGTCCTGAATTGTCCTACTGTGTACATGTGCTTGCTCAATTTATGTAGAACCCCCGTGAAGAACACTGGGAGGCGGCTTTACGTGTGGTGCGATATTTGAAAGGTAACCCGGGATAGGGAATTTTCCTTTCGGCTGACAGTGATATTCGGTTGTATGCTTACTGTGATTCTGACTGGGCCGGGTGTCGACTGACACAACGCTCTCTCACTGGATACTTTGTATTATTGGGACAAGCACCTATCTCATGGAAGACAAAGAAGCAACTTACAGTATCCAGATCATCGGCTGAGGCGGAATACAGGTCTATGGCAACAGCTGCATGTGAATTGAAATGGTTAAAAGGGTTGTTGCATTCATTAGGAGTTGGTCATCCTGATCCTATGCGATTACACTGTGATAGTCAAGCA